GGGGACGGGTTGGGGAGGGGGTGGGTCGGGGGACGTCTTAAATGTTCCACCAAAAAAACCCCCCCAAACATCTGTAGGTGTGATTTATTCATCAGAGTAAAAACGACAGCTTCGTCTGCCTTCGTCCTTCACGTCATGTTTATTTGTAAAATAAAGCGCTGGTCATCAGAACATTTGACTCGTTGTTAAATATGTGACACAAACATCTGGGACTGATAGGAACACAAATCGTACGACAATGACTTTTTTTTTCTTTTTTTTTTTCCTAGCCTGACAACAGTTTAAAAGACGCCGTCTTCTTCCCTCCTTCATTTACTTGAACAGAAAATACAAAGATACAGCAAACATGCCTCTTGATAAAAATATTTTTACAAAAAAATGTACATTTCTATACAACAGTTGTCAGTTCTCACACCAGGAACCCCCGACAAACTGTCAGTATTTTCATTCAGCGTTGGTTTGGAAAAACCAAATCAAATGAATATATAGATTTTTTTTTTTTAAAGTCTATTCGTGTTTTAAAGAAAACGTGACGAGTTGTTTATTTACATGGCAAACCTAAAGTGACTCTGATTAATTACAACAGCTAAAAGCAATGACTCTTTCTTTTTTTTTGTGTGTAGTTTTTTTTTGCTGCAAAATAATCGACACATCACCGTACGGTTCATAAGAGGATACCAGCGGAAAAAAAAGACGAAGAAGAAGAAGAAGAAAATAAAGGACATGTAGCAGAGTGTTTTCCCTTTGAACTTCTCTCTGGATACAAAAATAGTACTAAATATCACACGTGATCATCGTTCACCAGACATGGACTTTTAATGAGCTGCAGCTCATCATCTACACTTTTGCTTTTGCTCCGGGTGGTGTTTTGGCAACACAGCAGGGTGTAGGTGTGTGTGTGTAAAAAGTGGAATAAATATTTTTTTTCTGCTTCGGGGAAGTTTTAATATTTTTAAACAGTCTTGCGGCGAACACTTAGTTTATTCTGATTCTGTTATTTTTCTCTTTGTTGACTCTTATTTTTTATTGAACTTCCTTAAAATGTTTTTTTTGGCCAAATTTTGCTGAACACTGAAGAGACTGAACGGCGACCAAATCGGAAACAGTGAGTTTTTTTTTCTTCGTCATCTCCATTCAACAGTTCATAATAAATGCCCATTTTTTAAATGGCGGTTCCTAATGTGTGGGGTGGGGCCCACTGGGAGGGCGTAACGATTCAAATTTATTTAGCGGAAGTCTGTGTTACATGGCTAGCCGCCGTGTTGACACTGTTTTAAATAAAGTTCCGTTTAAAGCTGTGGATGTGGTGACGTGAGGTGAAGAGCTCAACAACAGTTCTATCTACAAAAGGGTGCAGTTTCTGGTAAAAAGTTCCGGCAAACCACAGTCTTAGGCTGATGATGTCACAGCTTCAGGGTTTTAATCCAGGTCAAAACGAGTTCAAATACAACCCCCCCCCAAAAAAAACCAAGTGAGATTCAAAGCCTTTTTTAAATATAGTCACATATGAAAATTCACAATGAAAAATAATGTTATAATCAGGTTTTTTTTTTCCTTGTGTTGAGTCACTGCTCTGAGTGGACGACCGCCGGGTTCTACGCCAACGTCTGTGAAAATGTTCACATTATGTCAAGAGCTCAGAAAGCTTTTAACCTCATCATCTCTCATTTACCAGACATTCGGGACACCTGGTGTGTACAAGAACCCACTGCTAAAAAAATAGAAAAAGTTGAGGTGAATAATTAAGAGAAATCACCTGTGACATTATTCAGTCATTTATTTCTAATCAGGTTAATTATAATTGCTCAGCTGCAGCCTGTGAATTATTTATTATTATGGGGGAGTTTTGACTTGATGTGGAATCATAGACCGTAGATAAGAAACGGAAGTAGCCACCAGGTTTAAAAAGAAAACAAAAATGGAAAAATCATTTTGAATTCTCATTGTTGGAACAGAAACCAGACTAAAACCAGTGACTGGAACTGTTTCAGAAAAGTGCTTCACATTTCCACCCACGGTGCTACTGCCTTTTCATATGTACGGTTTTAGATTAACCAAAATGTTAGGGTTCCAAACCCGCAACTCACTCCTGCTCCTCCTTAGAACAGGCAGTAATTGACCCAGGAGGAGGAGTCAAGCGTTGGCTCGTGGACAGGTTGGAGTCCATGTTGGGCTTCGAGACGCTGAGGCATCGCTCCCTGGCAGGAGGCCGCTGCCAGCGTTGGCTCTCTACCACAGGAAGCCCTTGCTGGGTTTTAAGAAGTTGGCAGGAGTCGCAATCGATGACGCGGCGGCTCAGAAGGGCGTGATGAATGGATGAAGCAGGAAGGACTCGTGCTCACAGCCATCGGATTACGGAGGAATTAAAACAGAAACCCAGGCTGCAGCGGCGCTTCATCAAAATAAAGATCTGGATGTTTGTTTACAGAATGTTTGTTTCTGGAATGTTCCGTCTGTTATTTATTCAACGTCGGAAACGATGAAGACATGAAAATATCAGGGGCCGTCAAATTAACGCTTAGATTAATGATTTTTAACGCATTTTAACACATGGTTAAAAATGACGCATTGTACCGTGTATCAAATGGTTATCCAGTTTATCTACGCGTCGTTGCCTGAACAGTCGGTACATGTTGTTATTTACACAGACTGTGGGGAAAAAAATGTCTTCCCAGCATGTGTTTGTGGAGACGTTAACCGTCATATTTAGTTGATTCATCTTAAATATTCACGATGATTTGTAATTAATCATGGGCAGTAACCGTGATTAACCTCAACCACAAATAATCGTGATTCATTTCGTCCATGATTAATCATAATTAATCCACATCTTAGCAGTGATTGATGAGATTAAACTTTGTACTGGCTCTGACGGCCCGAAAAAAACATTAAAAACTAAAACACTGAACCATTTTCGTGATGAAGGGAACCAATTTCTTCCCCAGCGGAGCCTAATCAGCCAATTAACTCTTCTTTCCTCAATTTTTTAGAAACAGTTTGAAGAAAGAAAACTGAACATAAAACCCTGGAGGTTCCACCCAGAACAATGCAATAAAAACTGGATCTGAAAGACATTTTCTACGCCCTGCGAATCACTGCCACTGTGTGCTGTGCGACTGGAAACCTTAAAAAAAAAAAAAAAAAAGTAAAATGGGCGTCACCTGAACACACCACCTAAAGTCCAGAAATGTTGTCTTTTTTTTTTTTTTTCCTACGCAGCTCCTTCTCCGGTCGTTTCTTGAAGTTGACGATCATTTCTAATTCCACCGAGCGGCGAGTTCTGCCTCCCAAGCCTGCAGAAATGAAAAAAAAAAAAAAAAAACTGAGGGAAAAACACATCATAAGACTGTTTCTTCTCCAGCAGGCAGCGGGCTATTTATAAAGCTGTAAATCTGAGGAGGATTAAGTGGAGTTGTAAAGCTGGTCCATTTAAAATGGACCCTAAAAATATCAAGGGACCGTCTGGATGTTTCGGGGCAGAGGCAGAATGGTCTCTGTAATCCTTCTGCACATGATGTATCAAAGCGTTTTCAAGGCTGATTTGTCATTTTTGGCCAGAACTGCATGCAAAAAAAATAAAATAAAAAGACATCTATTGGAGACTTTATTGGAAAAATGTCACATTTTTATGATGGTATGTGCCGAGGAGCTTAATGAATCAGAGAGAAAACAGCTGCCAGGCTGAGGACTTTAATAAAATCATTTTTGCACAAACACGAGTCACGGCAGCGTAAATAATCAGAATGAAAACCACACCACATAATTCCACTGTAGCGTTTTTGTTTTTTTTTCACAGGTGAGTAAATTAAATAATCACGGGCTTAAATGCGTCGAACCGACTGCTAATTGTGTTAATTATAATTTCTTAGGCTTCATTAAAACACTGCAGTAAATTGGCTGCCGTCGGTTTAAGCGGCTTAGCGGTGTGTGCAGCGCGGTCCGGTGGAAACCGAAGCTCACTCATTAGCACGTATTATGTTGTTTAATTAAAAAAAAGGCTGGAGTGTAAAGATTAGAGCGTGTGGATTCACGGACGGAGGCTGAACGGTTCTCATTCTGTTCCATCATTACAGTGACGTCTGTACTTCATGGAGTACTAATTACTTCATATGAATATATGGTCTACTATTATGGTCTGTACCAGTCAGCCAATCAACAGAACAGCCCAGTCCAGAGCTCAGGTTTTTAATCTGACCCAATTTTATATATTAAAAAAAGAAAAGATCACTACTAAATATAATTTATCATCAGCAGTTTGGATAATTGTTTAGCTAACTTTTAGCTGAGCATTGTAGTAAAAACTGACTGCACTGACATTTAGCTTAATTTACTGTAGCATAATTTGTGCCAATCAAATGTTTGTTAATATATTTAACCTTTTTTAAAATGTTAAGATAAATATTTTGGATAGCTTTTGGCTAAGTATAAGTATAAGTATATTTTCATGCAGTCAAACACGTATGTGGCTTATTTTTTTAATAAAAAGATCAAGGTGCTTTTGGCTAAGTATAAGTATATTTTCATGCAGTCAAACACGTATGTGGCTTATTTTTTTAATAAAAAGATCAAGGTAAGGTGTAAAAAAAATCTAGCTTAAATTTGTTACAAAGATCAACCATCGGCCGCATGAATGAGAAGCGACGTCATCAAGACAGAGATGACAGTTTTGGGGTTCTATATTTGGTTTAATAGAATGACGTAAATATTAAAGATGTGAAATTATCCGTCCAAACACTAGATCTGTCCTACAGTGTGTATATATTTGGCTGCGGACCATAACAAAGCCTGATACGACACCAACATAAATCCCGCTCCTGCTATGATAACCCAGTCTGGGGAGAACTAACAGATGATGCTGCTGCATCATTACCCACAATCCCCCAAAGGCAGGACGGTTGGACATTTTTTTCTGAACCTCAGGCTCCACCATTCACACAATTCAATTAGATGAATGTTGTTTACGGGTGGTTCTGGCCCATTGCTGTAACATCATTGCTTCCTCCGTTGAATTTCAGCATTAGCCGCCCTCTGTTCACTGGAGAAGCTTTTTTTAAATGTCATGGAGCTCATGACTTAGGAGATTATTAAGGAATGTTTAGAGACGCCGCAGACATGGATCAGCGGCCGCTTCCTTTAATGAAGAAAACCCTGGAGGTTCAGACGATAGAATAGATGTTACAGAGAGTGGGGGTAAAAACTCTTACCTGATCTCAGTTGTCAACATCTGATACGTGGTTCTCTGTCTGAAAGTAAAAAAAAAAACAAAACAAAAAAAAACAAAACAAAGAAAAGAAAAAAAAACACGAGGGGGAGGTGTCAATGACACGTCAAAAATTTTCACCTCAGCAAACACATTGTGTTTAATCAGGTCTAAAGGTCACAGAGGTCATCGTGCTTCCACACTACGACGGTGCGGGGTCAATTTGACCTTCAGGGAAAATGAGCGTTTCTCTCGACAGTAATGTCTTTTATTAGTCAGACACGAGGGTCTCACCAAAGACGACTGCTCTGATGGTGAAGGACTAATAAATAAACCAGAGGACGGACAGAGCCTCGGCTCAACTCGACAGAATCCCAGGACGATCAGGTCAGCGTGTGAATTTGAATCGAAAGATTTGAATCTATAGATTCACAGAAAAAATACAACCTTTAAGGATGAAGTCATAATGTTAATGTGTGTAAATATAACGTCATGTTTTTATTATTTTTGTTTTATGGAATGTTTTGGGTCACTGTCTGTGACTGTGTGTGTGCGTGGGGGGAGGCTTAAGGGAGGCAGGGGGGGGCGCTCTCGTAAAGTCCTGTTCCTTTGGGTCTGAGTTGGAGTCGACAGGGAGGAACTGTCAGTCTGAGACCCTTCACTGTTCACTCATGTGAAGCCCCGGCTCAGATCTGACTCCATGAATAATTCTGAGAAATTAACTTCCAGTCTGCCCACAGGAGAGCTCCCCAAAGTGCTTCACTCACTCACCCACTCACCCACTCACTCACCCCCCCGTCCCCCTCCTCTCCTGACAGCCCTATCAACCGTTTCTCTTACCAGATGTTGGCTGCCCTCCCCGTCGAAGTCGTCTTCACCTCCATCGGTCATCTCTCCCGCCTCCACCTCCTGCGCCACCTCTCCCGCCTCCTCCCCGGAGTTGTCTGCTGCCTCTGACACCGACTCCTCGTGCAGGGAGTCACAGTTGTCGTCGTACTTTCTCTGGGAATCTGCAGCCAGACAGAAACGGAAACCGAAACGCTCGTGACCACGGCGCCGCTCCGTCCTCGGGTTCATGTTGTGTCTACTCTGCGTTCTGTCCATTAGTGGAACAGCGGGGTCTCATTTGTGGACCTCAGAGTGTCCACACGGTCGGGTGGACACGGGCAGCCGTCTCTACTTAAACTGTAGATAAATGTTTATAGAACTGCGACCAAGGTTGAAGTGAGATGGAAGAGCACTTTAACCACTGAATGATTAGACGCTGGACCCAGACAGTGAACGCACCACCGTTACCTCAGTGTCAACCCTGCTGTGTTGAGACCACGTTGTCTCTGAGGGACTGTCTTTATATCTGGTTGTTTTTGTTTTGTGTTTGGAGGCCTGAACAGACACCAATATCTGAACAAATGTGTTCTCATCTGTTTTTCAAACTGTATGACCAACAAAACTGTACCTCATATATATTTAATATCTTCCGCCTTGAGGGAAATACCTCTTCAAATCACTCTAAGTTTTAGTTATGGCTGATTTCTGTCATTTTTTGTTACTGCTTTAATTCATTTTTTTTATTTAAGTCCAAAGGTTTGGAGTAAAAAACTGCGACACATTAAAATATTTTTACTGTAAAGTGAACTAAAATAGCAGTGAGTGACTAAACCTGGTGTTTTTCCTTCATTTATTCTAACTCTGAAGTAGGTTTTATATGAGAAGACAAAGGTCGACTTTTAAAAAATGAAGAAGTTCATGTTTAGTTTAAATAAAAGAGAAGAAAAATCTGCGGCTCCACACACCACGCTCGGCCACTCGTCTCCTCCTGACCTTGAAACTGAGTCTGAGCCCAGGACTGTACCGTTCAGCTGTAGGACGTCTATAAAGACCGCTGAGTCAGCGCGCTGTCCACATCTGTTGGCTGATGTGACGGAGCGCTGCGCCGCTCTTATCTCACACCGTGTCACTAAGACATATGGCCGCTGCATGATCTTAATTTCCCTCGGCCTCTGAGGTCGCCCTGTGTGTGTGTGTGTGTGTGTGTTTGGGCTGCTCCTACTCACCACAATCGTTTCTCTGCTGCTTTTCAATCTTCTCCAGACGTCCGAGCAAAGAGTCGATCTTCATCTTGATCTGAGTCAGCTCACGTTTGACGGTCTGGAGCTGGTCGGTTTTTACTGCAGAGAAACAGAGGAGGGGGGGGGCATGGGGGGTTCTTGAATATCTCGATGTTACAGCAGGACAGGACTGGGTCGACCTCTGGTTGTCTTTTGGCACTGAACTTTCTGATGTTTAGGTGGAGGATTCATAACGAACGACTCCAGCAGCAGTGAAAACTTAATGTTGGTTAAAACAGGGAGTAAGATCCTGGTGTGAAAACATGGCTAAAAACATGTGAAGATAACGTAAGTTAGCCCAGTGGTCCAAAGTATGGGGCAGGCCCTCACGAGGGAACACTGAGCTATTGCAAGGGGGCCGGGGTTCTGTTCTCCAAAAACAAAACAACAAAAAAGTAGAAAATTAATTATTAATTATTAATTCAAGATTTAACCTAAATATATATATTATGCCTTTTAGTTTAGCTAACGTAGCGGCTAATGCTAAAATCTATTTTGCAATCAAAGCTACTAGTTTTAGCATCATACTTTCTGAAAAATATGATAACGTAAAATCCCTTTAAATAAAGAAAAAAACTGAGTTAATGAGGTGTGAACCAATCACATCAAAGCAGGACTGGTGCGGAGCGCCAAAAAAAACAACAACCATTCATCTGCAGGACGCAGCAGCTAATCCCATCGGACCGAGCTCCAACTGAGCAGATTAGAATAATTCCAACCGTACACTTATGAAATAATCTCGTCCAATCGCGTCCAGCGGCTAAGATGTGTTGGCGCCAAATCCCGTCATCAGCAGTCGACAGAGGAACAGAACATTTGTTTTGACAAGCAGGGATGGCGGCAGGACAGACGAGCGCTGGGTAAACAAACCCACCACTTCCTCCTCCGACGCCTGCCAGAAAAAGAAGGACCAGAGTGGGTGGATATTCACACCTCCATCAGCAGACGCAGCCACCAACACGTAAACACATGAGCTGATGATGATACGACTGGATGGCAGTTTGGCCAGTTATAAACCGGAGCCCCCCCGTCCCCTCGTGTCCCCCCCAGGGACATTTTAATCTTTCACTAGAACTCATTCTGACAACCAACATTTGCTGCCTTTGTTGCGTTTCTGTTCAGGCTTCGATCGTACGCCAGTTTGCTGCCAACATCCATTTTAAATCCAAGCAAAACACATGGGAAATAGAAAAAGGGGGAAGTATTTAGAGTACCTCAGTGAATACAAATACTCACAGTACTGGTCTTAAACCTTTTACTAGTTCAAATTCAAGGACTTGTCAGAATCGTTCAAGGCTGATCTTTTTTATGAACCCTGTAAACCTTGATATTCTTACATCATCAAACTGTTTGGCTACTTTGAAAATAAAAATGCATTATTTTACAGGTACTTGAGTAAAGTAAAATATTTCTTGTTAAATGCTTTGGTATTTAAAAATTAATTCATAAAAATCATCATTTAATATTAACCATTTAATCATTTGTGACATTATAAAATACTTCAGTTCAGACAGAAAACAGACAACCAGGTGCAAAGGGTAGAACTACGGTACTGTTGTTCAGGACATACATTATATGATGACAGGACAGTGGTGCGGTCTGAGGGACAGATGGGTTCAGGGTAGAGGCAATTAAGTAGCGTGATTTTTGAACTCATCAATAAAACCCAAAAACCGGTAGGACAGATGGGTTCAGGGTAGAGGCAATTAAGTAGCCTTGAGAAACATTTTCCTCTAAACGTGATTTTTGAACTCATCAATAAAACCCAAAAACCTGGTCCAGTACAACAACATCAGGCTACAGAGAGTCCATTATATCAATTGTGAATAAACACTGAAACGTAGATGAACTGAGCTGGTTACAACAACAACAACAACAACAACAACAACAACAACAAACAACTTCCATCACTGCCCACCAGCCTCCACTCTTATCTGGACTCAGCGTGGGCAGCTTACTAGGTGTCCTACGGTGATAAGAGACTGTGGGGCAGTTTTGTAATTTATCACTGCCTCCAGTGTTGTTTTTCTTAGCTGTGGGTTAAATAAACAGAGAGAAAAAAAGAAGCAGCGACGTCGTAATCCAACATGGTTTTTATCAACACGGCCTCCGCAGACGGCTGGTGTTATGATGAAAAAAAAAAAAAAACCATAAAAATAAAGAGAGAGAAAAACATAAAAGAACAGCTTTGTTTATCCAAGAGGCATTAGAGAAGATTAGAGCGGAGCTGAGAAGTTTGAGAAACGAGCAGCGAAGGTGGAACAGTCTGGAGACGGAGGGTGAGGAGGTGAGGGGGAGGAAGAACGGAGACACAAGAAGAAGAAGAAGAAGGAGAAGAAGAAGAAGAAGAGGAAGAAGGAGAAGAAGAAGAAGAAGAAGAAGACGAAGAAGAAGAAGAAGAAGAGGAAGAAGGAGAAGAAGAAGAAGAAGAGGAAGAAGGAGAAGAAGAAGAAGAAGAGGAAGAAGGAGAAGAAGAAGAAGAAGAGGAAGAAGAAGAAGAAGAAGGAGAAGAAGAAGAAGAAGAAGAAGAATCGAGGTGATGATGAAATTTAGATGATGAAAACTTTAAAACTCTGCCGGGGATTTTGGGAGAAAATGACAAAATAAAACTAAATGTATTACATCACTGTTAATCAGAGACTTTTTGTCTTTTAAATTTTCATTTTCAATGCGTTTTTCTTTCAACAGAAATCAATGAACTTTAGATTAAAAGATGTAAACATTTGATATGACCAATAATAAAACACCAAAGGTGATGATTAGTTTACCGTATTACCTTGTAATAAAAGTACATTTTTAATACTCTTTTCAAACTGACTTCATTACTACATTTTTGAATATCTAAATTCCTGCTTCAAAACGATCGGTACGACAGTTTCAACTCACATTTATTATTTTATTTTGGGTTTAGTTTCATACCTCAGTGATTCTTAGTCGTCGGACTCAAATGTCAGGAAGTGTAACGACTAACAGTGAGTTCAACGCTGCATTCCTTTTAATCTAAAGTCAGAATTCTGACCTTTAGATTAAAAAGATCTCTGGTTTAGATCTGAATTCAGACAGCATTCCAAATAAATAATGATAAAAAAAATATTTTCGGACTCTCAGAGATTAAATGAAGATCAAATTCAATATGCTGTCTGTAAACACAAGGTTAAAGAGTTCTGATCCTGATTTTAATGAGATTATTATTTAATGTAAACAGACAACAAATCCCAAAAACAGATTCACCTTGATTTTTTTATTTTCGCCACCTGACGGCTTTATCTGTCTCCCACTGAAATGAGCTGTCACTCAGACGCAGCCAATCGCTGGTCCACCTCCTCACAGCCGCTCACCCTGTTGTCTGGATGAGCTTAACCTTATTTTGTTGGCCAATCTATCAGGGCCAGAGACGGCAGCCGGAGCGATTTTTCATGGTCTGTGACAGGGCGAAAATTAGCCTCCTAAAAAAATGCAGGCGCACGGCTTAGACAGAGGACAAAGAGAGAGAGAGAGAGAGAGAGAATTCATCAAGTGTGTCCAAAATGAGGGCAGGAGATGTGCCGTTCCTCCTTGTTTTTTTCCCTCTGTCGGAGCAGATGTAACTGTGTCCTCCTGACAGACCTTTTCCAAGCTGCTCCTGCTGATAACACCTCGCCCCGACAGGCAACAATGAACAAACACTGTAGCCAATTACACAGGTCCGCGGCCGGAGACCACCGTCTGAGAAAACACAGCTGACCACGGGCTCCAGAGTCGCGCCCTCCCGTCGGCCTCCAGCCTCACATTAATTACAGTTAGGAGGGTTATAATGCACGACCAGTCGGTTTACAGGAGCTAATGAGGCCCAGGTGGGTCGGATGGGTCCATCTGGTCCTCCGGTTCTGGAGGGAGTCCGGCTGATGGCTCACTGAGCTTCCAGTACCTTTGTGTTTGCATTTCAGTTTTATCCTCTTTATATTCTGAAGCCCTGAGCAAAATTTATTTTTCAAAATGTTCACGTTTAATCATGGTCATAATTAAGGATTAATTGTGTTTAATTGAGAAATATCACCATATTTATTTGGACAAAGATTTTTTTTTCTGTATATTTCAGGAACAGAACGGCCGATGGACGTGTGTGTTTCACAGCTGTCATTATTTATAATGGAATTATTGATAAATGACAAGGAAAATAGC